CGATCTCATATTATTTGTTCAAAGGTTATTATTAAAACTGTTTATAAATAGTTGTCAAATAAATGAGCAACACTATATAATACTCTACTCCCCTCGCTTGTGTACACTACCAGGAAGCGGAAAAAAAGAGAAGATAAAATTTAAAAGAACAGACTTCCATCATTTGAGGATGGTGGCAATAATATTTAAAGTTATATTTATCCCCAAAATAAACTTAGAAGAAATCATGTCAAAATAAACACAGTCTCAAAACAGCTGGTACAAAAATACAAGTTGGACCAAGGGACTTACAGCCATTGCTGCTATTTACTCATTGAGAAACATCTGCTTTTTTCAAGAAGAGTACAACCCCTTCCCCAAACAAGTGTAATATTTTCAATATTGAATCAGTAGTTATATTTTTTATACAAGTTACCATTTATTGGAAGGGTATACAAAGCACAATGATAAGGTAGTCACAATTTTTTTTTATTACATTCAAAGTCTGATACAACAATCAAGAGTTTAATGTATTATTAGTTGACTGTAACATCTCCCCATTTAAAACACTTATTTTATTAAATAATCTGAACGAGATAAAGAGTATTTATATACATTTGGTTCTAATTATTGTTCAGAATAAGAATAGTTGCAGGAATTGGATTTGTCTAGCATAGTAAAAAGAAGGACTAGGGGTGAGATGATAGCAGTGTTTCAATATTTGAGGGACTGCCACAAAGAAGTGGGGGTCAACCTATTTTCCAAAGCACCAGAAGACAAGACAAGAAACAATGGATGGAAACTAATCAAGGAGAGAAGCAACCTAGAACTAAGGAGAAATTTCTTAACACTGAGAACAATTAACCAGTGGAACCACTTGCCTTCAGAAGTTGTGGATGCTCTATCACTGAAGGCTTTTAAGAAGAGACTGGATAGCCAATTTTGGAATGGTATAGGGTGGACTAGAAGACCTCCAAGGTCCCTTCCAACTCTGTTATTCTGTTCTCCAAAAACTTATTTGAATCCTAGACAAGATTCAGGTATGTAGAGATTAAAATAAAGCAAATCTTGAATTGCTAAGAAACAGCTGTTTACTTTTAATGCCATGATGGGCTAGCTCTATCCATTATAATTGCATAAACAGATACACTGTAACAATAAATTAGTTTTTTTTTCTCAATTATTGCAATAATTTGGGAGGGAAAGGTACTTTCCATCATGTGCATGGCAGGTTTATTATGAAATAATAACTTTATACTTATTCCTTGAATAACCCTACAGCATAAAGATGAGTTGGCAAGCTATGTAATTTTCAATTACCAACCTAGTTTAGACATTATTCAGGTGGTGTCAATTACAAGAAATTCATTCCAAGACATAGGTTACTGAATTTGCTCTTGGCCCTTCACTAACTGCCTCGGTGAGCTCAATCCATTTCCAGCTGCATTCTGTTTAATAAAGGTTTCTCAGACGAGACCATTGTGGATACACAATTCACAACTATCAAGCTAAATGAAAGCCACCAAGAGAAGCATTCTGGTTTTGCTGACAAATCTGGGCTATGTAAGTAAGTGAATTATCAAACACCAGGCAGACAACATTCCACCAGTGGTACATCCAGACAGATTAATCCTTAGTTACACAGACTACAGTTATAGAATACACATGCAAACAAACAAATCAAGATGTCCTCTTCAAATCATGTATTGCATGTTGTTTACTGTTAATCACCATATTGATTAATCAAGCAAAAAAACAGACATATAACATAATTTAAAAAGCAAAATCATCTGGAATCACATACATTCACTGCCCAAATAATCCACCCACAGCTTCAAAACAAAAGATTAGCTGAACTTTCTTGAAAGATAAAATAATCCTGATATACAGTGATATGGAAAGTATTTATGGATAATTATAAATTGTTTTACCAAAATAAGCCCTACACTAGTCAATAGATTTTATCTTTAAAAACAACATGAATCAATAGTTTCCCTTAGCCAACTAACATGTGAAATCATACACCTGTTAGTTTAACACCAAAAAACAAATAAGCTAGACACATGGAGAAGTCTTGCTTAAAGTCTTGAATCAGCATGGAATCTGCAAAACTAAATCTTGCCTCACCAATTTCTAATTTTTTTGAGAATGTGTATGATTTTGCACAGATGCAGACAAACCTGTCAACATTGTGCACTTGGAATCTCAGAGACTCTTTGCAAAAGTTCCTCATCAAAGGCTGTTAAGTAAACGTGGCACTCTGGATGCAAGATGATTTGTTCTTTTATGACTTTCTAAATGGATAAAACAAAGCCAAGGGGCAGGAAGAAATAGGCATTTTTTTCAAATGAAGAAATTAAAAAAAGAGATTTTTTCAAGAATCTGTGTTGAGGTAAATGCTTTTTAGCTAGTAGATAATTCTGACTGATGAGAAAGAAATGAGTTAGTTTATATATGATATTAAATTATTCAGGAAAGTTACAACCAAAATGATCATCAGAAGCTCCAGAAGGATTTCTTTAAACTGAGAAAATTATCAATTGAATAGCAAACATGATTAAATTTATCTGTGCTGAGTGGTGCACATAGGGGCAAAAGTCAAATTCATGTTTCCTGTTCTAAGATCTTGATGTAACGGTGGATATCTCAATGAAGATGCTGATCAATTTGTAGCAGCGGTAAAAAGGCAAATTCCATGGAAGAGTTCATCAGGAAAGGAATTGAAAACAAAATTATCAATGATATAGTACAAGTATACAGAATGGTGGAATAGTTTAAAAAAACAATATAACAACGTGGAAAAATTGCAGAAGAGGACAATGAAAATGGAACTCAACCATCTTACAAGAAAATCTAGAAAGTCTGGAACTTCAGTGTAAAGAAAAGTTAACTAAGGGCAGACATGATTTGTTTGTTTATTAGATTTGTGTGCCATCCATCTCCTTACATGATATGGAAAACATGGATGGATGGACATAAATGTTTTATTCCTCTTTTAAAACACTTAGAAGCAGGGATTATCCAATGAAACTGAAAGGAAGATATTTTGAACAGAAAAATTACTTTCCATGGTGCATAATTAACCTATATTTATAACCATTCATCAGATGACTTTAAAAATAGTTTGGTTAATTCAAGGAGGACAGGCCTACTGAGAGCTATTAGCCTTGAAGATTTAATGGGACCACTGGGCTGGGGCAGCATGGATCCAAATATTACTTTGCAGAAGAGAAATACATCTGCTGTTGTTTAATACCTCAGAGGCTAGTAAGCTTCTGTGAGAAAATGCTGGATGAATATTATCTTCAGCCTATTACAGCAGAGATTGTTTTGTTATTAAATTATTATTAAAAATATCAAATATGCAAAACAACCTGGAGTAATTCTTATGGAACTGTATCATATCTAAAAAGATATTATACTGCTTTATTATATCTTTATCTTCAAGTTGCTATTATTCCTATGGAAATAAAATTATAAATACAGTAATTGTGGATATTCATTCCAAAAACCTATTTAAGCTTAATCTCTTTCCAACCATATTCTGCATATAATTTAAAAGCTACGCTGGTTTTCTCCAGAGACACTACACAGCACAATACAAAAATAACTGATGTCTGATAACAAATGAAATTCATACTAAGTAGTTATGCAAAAAGTAAAATGTACCTAAAAATAATTCAGCAAATCACACTTGCATATATTTATAAAACTATTCCCCTTTATTCCTACCCCAGTATGTTATTTTAGAGCTAGATACTTAGTAAAAATATTCAGATGAATAAAATAATTAACTTTTGCCTTAAAAGGAGCATTACAGATTTTTGCACTGAATCCAGTTTTGGGTACTAAGAACAATCTGCTGCATCTTTTGTCAACAAGAAACCAAACACCAAGAGACTTGTCCCATTTGTGCTAAGGGGCACCTGAGGGCACCTGAGTATGCTTGTTTGTGAAAAAGTTTGTGCAATCCACTGGTAACTTTTAATGCCTCTGACTTAAAAGGTAGCAATTCAACCTTTCTTTTAATTCCATAAATTGTTGAAATCCAGCCCCTCCCCTGCCTATTTATCTGAGACAGCTATGCAAAACACAAACAGGTATCTCTTCTCTCCTTGCACTTTCTGCCCTCTTGGGGTAATGCATTAGGGCCAAAAGATGTCATTATGGCACTTGCGGGGAAAAGGGATGAAGAACTGATAGGATAATGTTATTGACAGAGTTCCTGCAGTTACATCTATTCTTGGCAGACAATTACTACTAAGAATCAAGCAGAAGGAAGAAAAGACTTAGAGAAGAGAAATCCAGAGTATTCTACTCTATAGAAAATAAACAATTCAGCAGTATTTCCTCTGGCTGGCGATTCTGATGGAAAGTCGCTGAATTAAACTTTTTTTTTGGGGGGGGGGGGTTTCACTATTGTATTTTCACAATCAGGCTTTCCAAGGTTACCAGGGGCTATTTAAGCTGTGTCTGTAGCAACAGTTCAGTGGGACAGCACTACTGCAGCCTTCCCCCACTTGATCCCCTCCTGTGAAATTGGACGACACCTTCCACCATCCCTGTCATCCTGCAGAGAGCTAATGGAAACTGCAGTGCAATAAAACGGGAAGGCACTTAGGTCGGGAAAAGCTGTATTAGCAGGAGACGGTTTTCCTTGCGACGGAGGTTCTATAAACCAGGCTAAGGACCCCTTGTGGGGCAGCTTACGACATCGACCCCCTTCCGCCTAAGCATCTCCGGGTGCCTATACACCTTGCTTTTGGCTTCATCGCCTCGCAAAGCCGTCCGGGGCTTCGGACAACGTCCTTCCCCCTCCGAACTCATTAGGCCTCACTGCCGCTCCTCAGCTTAAGCCCCTGCAGACACCCCAGTGCGTCGCGGTTATGGCAGCCGGGCTTCCACACCCGGGACTCTCCAGGAGAGAGAGAAAGCGGCGCGTTGAGATGCCAAGCCCGGCCTTGCCCTGCCTCACGCCCCCCCCCCTCTCCTCGCGCACCTCACGGTACGGCAGCCCTCACCTCCTCCGGGATGGCAGAGTCGCCTCCGGCGCTGCCGCTACCCCCGGCGTAGGAGGGCCCGGGCGGAGGCGGCTCGGGTTCCATGTCCCCGTTGAAAAGCGATGCCCCCTCGGCGCTGCCGCTGCTGCTCAGCGCCGCCATCTTGGATCGAAGCGCGGAGGGAGAGGAGGGGGCCAAGAGGGGGGACGGGGAGGAGGAGGAGGGAGAAGGGGAGGCCCAGCCGTGTCGCTCCTGTCGACCCGGCCGCCCCCAGATGCGACCCGTAGCGGAAGGAAGGAGGGAAGGTGGCACGAGGGGCAGAAGGACGGGGCAGAAGAAGCTCCCCAAGCCACCCAATCCTCCAGGCAGGGAGGCAGGAGCGCGACGTCACGCGCGTGACGTCACCCAGAATCGCCGCGGCGCGGGTGCGCATGTCCAGCAGAACGTCACCGGGGAACACCCTGACATCACGGCGCGCCCCCTCTTCTCTACGTCATCTAGGGAAACCTTAGATGCGCGGAATGGCTTCGCCACGCCCCCCCCCCCAAATCGGGGCGCGTTTGTTGGGATAGGTGGCTTTTTTCTCCCTCGAGCTCCGATCGGCTGAATTACAACCGATGCGTTTAAAGGCAAGTTATTATAGAACTACCAGATCTGGAATGCAGAAATCTGGGCGACCCCTGGATGGCAGCAAAGAGTGTGTCCATATCTCTTTGGTGCCGTCTAGATTTTCGCAGCCCGGATCTAATCGCACCAGATACTGCTTAGTAAGGAAGCGCTGCTTTAACCAACATTTAACAAGTAAAGCTGAAAAAATGAGCATTCTCCCAAACGCAAAATAGAAATAAGCATTGTTCTGAAACATGGCAATCAAATCTCCCACGCTCTGAAATGAGAATAATATTAGTGAAAAACCTGAGTTTTCTCATAAATATTGCCTCAACAGCCTCCTAGCTAGTCTCCATGATCTGAAGAACTGATCTTCAAGCTACATGGAAATAAAATATTTTAGATTAACTTCTGTCATTTGTGTCCTATTCTTATGAAGATTACAGTAATATTTTATGTTTAAAACAATTTTAAAGCGTGAGAAAATAATTTATTCACCTGGTTCATAACTGTCTGTCTTATTTCTGTACTTGATTATTCTACACGATATAAACTATTCCCTAGATGAATTGTTTATCTGAAAAATACTGTTTGAGGTGATACTTTAAATACATTGCTAGGAAAATATGCATGCATGTACTGCATGTATTATTAGCATTTTACAGGCTGCTCCAGGTGCAAATGTCCCTAAGTGGCATACATTCCAAGGGCCATACATTAAGTAAAACAAAACAGTAAAAACTATGCATAATAATAATATCCAAATATTATTTGGAGGTCATATAGAACCTGGATAATCAAATTAATGAATTCTGTTAAGTGAAAAAAACAACAACAACAACCCCTTCCCTACAAACACACAATATTTCCCAAAGACCTGGTGGAATAACTCATTTGAGAGTATTTTGCCCTGTATGGTACTCCACAACTTTAATATTTAATTAATATTTATATGTTACTTGTATGTAAGGGTGTAGGTCTATACGTATGTCCTAGTGGACAATCACTTAAATATGAGCCAGCAGTGTGCTGCAGCTGCCAAAAAGGCCAACACAGTGCTGGGTTGCATTAACAGGGATAGAAACAAGATCACGTGAAGTATTAATACCACTTTACAATGCCTTGGTAAGGCCACACTTGGAATACTGCATCCAGTTTTGGTCACCGCGATGTAAAAAAGATGTTGAGACTTTGGAAAGAGTACAGAGAAGAGCAACAAAGATGATTAGGGGATTGAAGGCTAAAACATGTAAAGAACAGTTGCTGGAATTGGGTATATCTAGTTTAATGAAGAGAAGGACGAGGGGGGACATGATAGCAGTGTTCCAATATCTCAGGGGCTGCCCCAAAGAAGAGGGAGTCAAGCTATTCTCCAAAGCACCTGAAGGCAGGACAAGAAGCAACGGATGGAAGCTAATCAAGGAGAGAAGCAACCTAGAACTAAGGAGAAACTTCCTGACAGTTAGAACAATTAACCAGTGGAACAACCTGCCTCCAGAAGTGGTGAACGCGCCAACACTGGAAGTTTTTAAGAAGAAACTGGACAGCCATTTGTCCGAAATGGTATAGGGTTTCCTGCCTGAGCAGGGGGTTGGACTAGATGACCTCCAAGGTCCTTTCCAACTTTATCATCATCATCATCATCATCATCATCATCATCATCATTATTATTATTATTAAATGTGTTATGTATGTGTACACTTTGAGAGCAAGCAACTAAATTTCATTTTTAATGTGTGTCATTGTGCCCACAGTAAAAAAAAAATGACAATAAAGGCTATCTATCTATCTATCTATCTATCTATCTATCTATCTATCTATCTATCTATCTATCTATCTATCTATCTATCATCTATCTACCTACCTACCTACCATCTATTATCTATCTAACTGAATTGCCTAAGGTTCAGTCTTTTCACCATCACTAACACTACCTTGATCAGCAGCCTCCCCACCACCACCACTCCCCCCCCTTTCTCTTCTCCCTTGCTTTGGCATTTCCTTTCTTCTTGCTTAGCAGAGATATCTTGATTGCTTGCTACTTTTCCATTCCTTGCGTGGCAGATAGGAGAGTGTAGCATGAAGAAATATATGGAGGTCTAAAGGTAATATATTGCCCAAGCCTCCCATAACTCTGAAAGACAACATTATACACCACTCTTTATTCTGTCCCTTTAAATTTTTTAATAAATTAAAACAATATGACAAAACATACATTGCAACCTAAAGTTAAAAACTTGAGCTTTTCCTACTTGTATCTCAACATTAGACAAAACTATCCCAATCACAGTTTTGCATTGTGATGATATGACATACATTTTGTTACTTTCCCTCTCTTGCCAATGCATAGAAATTGATGGAAACTTGCAGGAAAGCAAGGATGAGGGTTTAATTATAAATGTGTGTGCTGTGGCTGGGGAACTGTTACCAATCTTTAGGTGGTGTACCAATTGTAGCCCTACCTATAGCAAGAAACCCTGAGGCAGTAACTCACACATTATTGTTCTTGTACTCATATGAACCACCTGAGTGTGCTAAATATGAGGTTGCCTTTGAAGACTCAAATCTGCAATTTGTACAAAATATAATAACATGAATATTGACAGGTGAAAATCATTAACGCTATATAACACTCGTGGTACAAATGTAAGAGATGGTCTTAATGCCCTATATTCCTTGAGTTAAGATACTTGAGGGCTGTCTTTGAGGCAGAATCTACAATTCTGTATGTTAAATTCAGGTGGCAAGTGAGATACATGGAGGCTCAGGAATCTCCCCCTAGCTCTTTCATAGGCATTTGGAATCTAATAATTTGTATGGTTGTACACCATCATAGTTGCTTTTCTATTATATTATGTAATATTATATTATTACTTACCTGTTTCATTGTGTTGATTTTGAGTAAACTGCAACATGTTGGTTGAAATAAGCATCTTACAAGATAAACAAGTAACTTTTGGCTCTATTCGGATACATATTCCTATCAAAAAGCAGGCTACCCATCCAGCACTGTAAGGCTAGCCTGAAAGATGCACATTTATAGAAAAATCCTTGTATATATGGATTTTCAATACCAGACTTTTTTTCCATTGGTATATCTAATTAATTTATTCTTTTAGAACAGTGGTTCTCAACCTTTTTAATGCCGCGACCCCAACCGGTCGTAAGTCAAGGACTAAACCGGTCGTAAGTCGAGGACTAAACCGGTCGTAAGTCGAGGACTACCCAACCGGTTGTAAGTCGAGGACTTTCCCTGCCCGGGAGCGCTGTGCATGCATGGTTCCGCCCCCTGCGCCGGCCGAGGCGTAGCTGGCAAGCGGCAGAGACCGAGCAGGCCGACCACCAGCTGGCCCAGCCCAAGGGAGGTAAGGCACCCGCCGGAAAAGGGGGAAAAAATGGCGGACAAAAACAATGGCGGACAAAAACAATGGCGGACAGCCTTGCTTGGCGACCCCCATGAAATGGTTGATCGACCCCAAATGGGGTCCCGACCCACAGGTTGAGAACCACTGTTTTAGAACCATGCTTTTTACTATTTAAAGGAATATTTAGGTATCTTTTAGGAAGAACTCCATGGTTTAGTTCATGCACTTTTGTACCATATTGTGATTTGTTTGGTTGTAAATGAACCAAACTAATTTTAGCTTAGACAGACTATGCCAAAGGCTGGGTAAACACACTGCGTATTGTTTTGCATGAATATAAACCAGAAAGGGGAAATTTATGACTTTCCAGATAATAGCAGACTGCAGCTCCCATAATCTTTTATTTTTGGACACGGTGAGGAAGAGTTCAGCAGAGCTTCTATTCCCCAATATATGTCCCAGAATTCCATGATTAAAAAAAAATCTGCATGGGTCTTTTTCTGGTTCACACTTACCTTCCCTTCTGACCATAGAAAAAGTGGGTTGGAAAGAATATTTGAAAAAATGCTGAATATCAGTTTTGTCTTCTTTTAGCATTGTAACAAATTTGGGAGTTCTCTGACTCATAAGAGTTGCCCATATTCTTTTATGGCTCTTTCTTGGTTATTATGTACATTGATGCAACCCTTGGGAAAAACATAGCAATAAAAGATGTATATGTGATGTCGAATTATATTCCAACAATTTGGAAGTTAATATTTTATGATGAACTATGGCTCTATGAACCCTGGTGTTAGGAAAACAAAATTATCCTGCATTGGTAGAATGAAATCTGCACTCCAAATGTTAAACAAAGAACTCAAGAAATTCACATCAAGTTTTGAAATATCTTTCGATAGTAACGTCTTTAGAAAATGAAGTAATACAGTTCAATGTGGTCTAGATTTAAGACTATTAAAGAGCTGAACTAATTCAAAATTATATGGATCTTGTTTTAAGTTTTAGTTTATTTTAATAATAAACAATGTATCACTTTTCTAACTGTATCACAACTGTTGTGCTTTTTTTAACTTTATTACATTTGACTAACAATTTTTTTTACAACATCTACCCATGATGTAAATACTAGTCATAAAGGTAAAGCCAATTGTATGGAATGTTTCCATAGAATACTTACCCTCCCTCCTA